ATCTATCTCTATCTGTCATCTATCTATCATCTATCTATCTATCTATCTATCTATCTATCTATCTATCTATCTATCTATCTATCTATCTCTGTCTCATCTATTTTACCTAACCTATCTATCTCTCATCTATTTTACCTAACCTATCTAATTGATTTTATCAATCCTATCTAATATAATATATTTTTCTTATCCAATCTACCTATCTACCTATCTATATTCACAAATAAATGAGGGGCACACTGAACACAACCAGATGCAAGAGGAAGATTTAGAGTCAAAGCTTGGATGAATCACTTGATCTCTTTGGACCTCAGTTTTCTTATCTCTACAATGATGGATAAAAAGATTAAAGCTAGAACCAGACTCAAAGGCACAGGGTCTTTGTGCCATCATCTTTCCTAGGAGATCGAGGCTTATGGTTCCAAGCTTTATAAAAAAAGTAACCTTCTTGGATTCCTCTAATGACATTCTGTTTTGATAAAAAAAATGATTACTTATGGAATTTTGGTGAACCGCTTCGTTTAGTTTCCATTCCCTGAAATGGGCAGCCTGAATTAACTCGTCTCTATGTGAAGGTTTGAACCTAGATATTGAGGAACACCACCACTGCCAATTTATTAATATCACTTCCTCAAGGTGAATAGCACCAATATACTCAGTTTTTGGAAAGAATCTTTATGCTAAACCAGGAAGCATCAATGATGTAAATCCAATACAGCAACAGCACTCTTTAGCTCTTTAAAAAGTAGTTTCATAGAAGTTTCTATCCAGAATCAGATACCGTGTGAGCTGGAAGGGACCTTAGAGATGATACGACCCAAATCCCAAGATGAAGAAACCAAAGTCTAGAGAGGGAAAACAGCTGGCTCACAGTCACACAACGAGTTGATAGAACTGGTAGAACTCATATCTCCTCCAGTTTCCTTTTCTCCGTAAACTGATTTGTGTGTGTGAAAAGAAAATAGCATCTCCAAGAAAGAAATGGAAGGACAAAGGAAGCCAATACTCATTAAAGAATGAAATCACAAAATTACATAAATTACAATGAGGATTAAATGATTATATCATTATGCATTTTACATATAGCTATATAGATAGACACTATACTTTCCCTAGGGGTCTTGTACAGAATCATTTCCAACCATCTATTTTCTAGTACTTTGTCCATTCTAGTTTAATGATTCAAGTAATGGGGCTTCTACCACTTCCCTTGGGAGAGACTATTCCACAATTTAATAGCTCTCACCATTAGCAAACTTTCTTGATATTCAGCCTAAATGATCTTCTGCTCAATTTCATTCCATTACTCCCGTCATATCTTTGGCAATTCCTATCCCTCGCTGGTGTTTACATCCTTTGAATATTTGCAGAGACTATTATAATCTGCCTACAGCCCCATCCCTTAGTCATTGTTTATCCAAAGTCAACATTATGTTCTTTTAATCTTTCCCAGTGATTCAATCTGTCCCCCTCCTTAACAATTTCTGTTTCCCTTCCCTGAATTTTTCTCTAATTCAATAATAATCAAGCTCATTTAAGGATGCCTGACTTGGACCTGGGGCTAAGTTAGAAATGTAAAGGCCTAGAAAAAAAAAAGACAAGAACAACTAGAGGGTTAAAGCAGAAGTTTTCCTGGAGATCTTTTTTAGTTTTCACTCACTACAAGTGAAAAAAAAACCAAAACAAACCCAAAACCCACTTACATTGGTTTGTATAATCCCCTGCCTCCCCATCCTTTAGGGACCTTCACCTCTTAAAATATACTAAATGAATTTTATGAGCAAGCCGTTTTGCATATTGCATATTTATATTCCCAAACAAATAAAGTGACAAGATCAGTCAACTTTGAGTAGTCAAATAAATTTTTATACACACATATGTATGTATGTATGTATATTTTTACATTTCTCCTCAAAGTTTCTTAGGTTCTCCCCCCCCATTTGCAAAAAATATTTACAGTTCTAATGCTGGTACCTTTCAGAACAATTGGTTACATTACTACTCTTATAGTAGTGGAGGTCATAGGATGAGTAGCTGTTATAAAAGATATGCACAAACATGTCACAAAAATTGCCTAGTAATTATACTGGGTCCAAAAATCAAAAGACACAAACCACTGTTAATTCTGGCCCTGTAATCTTTTAGGGGTGTTAATCATGTTTGTCATAAATTTAATGCCACGATTTTTGTTGTTATTCAGTCATGTCTGACTCTTTGACCCCATTTGGGGTTTCCTTGGCAAAGATATTGGAATGGTTTGCCATTTCCTTCTCCAGCTCATTTTACAGATGAGGAAACTGAGGCAAACAGGGTAAAGTGACTTGCCCAGGGTCACACAGCTAGTAGGTGTCTGAGGCTGGATTTGAACTCAAGAAAATGAGTCTTCCTGACTGCAAGTCTAGGACTCTATCCACTGGGCCACTTAGCTGGTACAATAAGTTTTATTATCACCTTCTATTCAAAGAGGAGGAGGTGGTGGTAGGAGGATAGAATGGTTTATGCTTACTTTGGCCTTCCCTTTCCTATGGTTGAATGGCAGGAACAATGATCCACTCCAGAGGCTGTAATGGGGGTGGGGTGTGTGTGTGTGTCCTTTCTAGCTAGTGTTTTTTGTTTTGCATATTACTCCTGCTTCTCAGAGTCCCCCACCTGCAGGCTCTCCTTGCTTTGATATTGCCCCCTCACTAATCAGAGTCCCATTGAGGAGGATTCTTACCTGGCTCTATCTGGTATTGGATATAGAGTCAGGGAGGCCTGGGGATAAATTCTTCTACTGTTAGCTGTGTGAGTGTCAGCAAATCGCTTAGCCTCCCTGAGACTCCCTTATCTGTGAAATAGAGGGGTTTGAATGAGACGGCCTCCAAGCAGCCTTCCGTCTCCAGTTCTATGCTCCCATGATGCTGTGGTTCTGGAGGTAACACTCCCATGCTTCCAACCTTTCTTGATGACTTCCCAATACATCACAGTATCACAGAATGATGAAATGGTCATTTGGGCAGTCAAAACCTAATAGTTAACCACCTTATGTTTATTTTATATTTATCTGTATATACATGTCTCACTTGATAGAAAGGAAGCTCCTTCAGAGGAGAGATCATTTCACTTTTTGTTTTTGTATCTCTGTGTCTAGCATAATGCTGTGCACATAGTAGGCACTTAATAAATTCTTGTTGATTGATAGATTGGAACTCTGAGCATGGTTCTAGGTACTACCATGCTTTACCACATTCCAGAGTACCTCTATAAGTACACCCTTTCATTGTTCATGATTCGATGAAATTTAGTATTTGTTACATCTAGAGGATGAGAGGAATTAGAAAAGTGAAACATTAATTCCATCTATCGGCTTGTTTGGGCCAAATGAGACCAAATCATTGCTTGATTTATTTTCCCTACTGAACTGAACAGTTTTTTTGACTGAATTGGGTGGTGGGATTTGGAGCTGGGCAAAGGCAGTTACAGACTTCTATATTCTCTTCCACAAATATTATTGCTCTGATATAGCGTCAGGATAGGGCTTATACTGCTATAGTGATGGGGCACAGGCTTAGCATTGCAACACATGTAGTGATTAGCTGTAATACGAGGAGCAAAGGGTTAGGTTTTAGGAGACTTGGGTTTGAAGCCCCACTGTGCAGCCTCTTCAGACCTGGAGGCAGCTTGGTGATGCAGTGGATAGAGAGGTGGGCTTGGAGTCAGGAACACCTGAATTCAAGTCTGGCCTCAGACATTACTAGTTATATAATCCTGAACAAGTCATTTAAAATTTATCTGCCTCAGTTTCCTCAACTGTAAAACAGGGATAATAATAACACCTAAATGCTTGTCACAGTGCCTGGCACATAGTAGGCACTTAATAAATACTTGTTACCTCTTACCCCTTACAGATCTTAGTTTCATCTCAAAATAAGAGGGTTGGATTGGATAATCTAAGGTTCATTTTGGTTTTGACATCCTGTGATTCTGCCTTTGAAAAATTAAAGAGTTTGAGCATCTTCCTAGGAATGGTCAATGTGGAGGGATTCTTAATATTTTACCTGTCATGGCAGTCTAGTGAATCCTGTGGACCTCTTCTCAGAATAACATTTTTTTAAAATAATATTTAAAAAAATTCACAATGAGGGCAGCTAGGTGGCACAGTGGATAGAGCTCCGGCCTTGGAGTCAGGAGGTCCTGAGTTCAAATGTGGGCTCAGAAACTTGACACTTACTAGGTGTGTGACCTGGGCAAGTCACCAGCCCCAATTGCCTCATCATCAAAAAGCAAAAAAATAAAAAATCACAATCGAAAATACAAAAGCAGTTAGAGGTTAGTGATAATGAAGATGCATTTTTTTCCCTGTCAAGTTCACTGGCCTCCAGAAATTTACCCATGGATCATTTGAGGGTCTGTGGACATCACATTAAGAAGCCTCTGGTGTAAAATTATGTTTTAAGGAATTGTAAAGTAGGATGCCCTTATAACCTGACTCATTCTTACAAAGATTCAGGTGACACGAGTTATATAATGTTCTCAAAGTTTAAAAGAGATTAACAAGAGAGGGTTGAAAAAGCCAACATATAAGGTAGTATTATTCTTGGTAAAAAACTAATATAACTTGAGAGGCATAGCATCGTGGGGACACGGAATAGATCTCAGAATCAGGAAGACTTGGGCTCAAATCCCCCTATTGTCTGTTTGACTTTGGGCAAGTCACCTAACCTTTCAGTGTGCCAGGCAACTCTTTAAGATGGTAAATGCAGAGTTGTTGCTAATCAGTCTTGTTAGAGGGAGTTTGCTTATCAGGAGTTGTACCTACCAGTGAAATCAGAGTCCTGAAAAATCTGGCTCTCCTATATCCCTCACAGTGTACTCATAAAGGGCTTCCGCTGTACGTCATCTGCATTTGTTTAGTACAGATATTAAATGTTATAGTCATACCCCCTTAAGAAAGAAAAAAAAAGAATGACCAGAAATGATTGGCAATTAAGAGTTTGAGAAATATTTGTCTCCCCATTTAGGATGGACAGGCACCTCGCTCTATTAACAACTCAGTCTCCCACATCAAAGAAAAAAACATGAGGAACTGGATGTGATTGCTAAGCAGTCCCTATTCTTTCACTGGAAGTGTCTGCCACGAAGGACTTCTCTCAAGCAACAAAGCCAGGAATAACGAGAGTATAAAGCTGGCGTTCATGAATAATTCAAAGGGGCCGAGGACTTTAAATGGAGCAGTTTTCCTCATTGGTAAGCACCACCCTGATGCCTTTGAATTTCTTCTTAGTGCTATTGTTCTTGCGGAGTAGGGTGGGGGAATCCTATTTTTTAAAGAGCCAAAGATGGGGGGAGGGACCAACTTCAGTCTGAGTCTAACTGCCCCCTTCGGCTCTTTTGAGGGTAGATGTAAATTTTGCCTATGGTTCTTTCACATCTTCTGGCCTGTTGGGAGGTTGGTGGTATAACTGAAATTTCTGTTTTACTGAGGAACAGCTCAGTAATACCCACAGTCCCCAATTTGCCAATGCTTCAGTCAAGAATATCCTCTATCATGAATGAGTTCCCCAGGCAGGAGTTGGGCCTGTCTTCCTCATTTATACGGAATTTGCTACTAGAAGGGATTTCTTCTCACCTCTCATGTTGCCTGGCTTAGGACCTTTTTGCCGCCCTCCATTATGCTTGTATCAGTACACGATGAACCTCTTACTGCATCTGATGAGCCCCCAGTGACAGCAGGGAACTGCCACCAGAAATCCTTACTCCTTCCAAGGGCCCTGTTTCCACTTTTTACCCCTTCCTGGAGATTACTACTACCACTGCCTATCCTCCTTTAAATGCAAATCCTATGGGAAGATCCTTTCTTCCCCATTTTCCATCCTTTCTTTCTCCTGCCAGAGCTCCCTTCAATTCTTGCCACTAGAACTCTCCTCCCTGGTCCCATTCCTTACCACTCTTTTGGAGACCTTGTCTCAGCCCCTCCCACCCTTTAACTCCTTCTTCTGCCATGAGAGCCTCATCTAAGGATGATAACAACAACAACAACAATAATAATAGTTGTTGTTGTTCCACATTAAGCACTAAAATAGACCCTAAGGAGATCATGATAGTGAAACTGTCCTATATTGGATTAGAAGTTAGGGGACGGCTTTGACATTCAGTAATATGGTATTTTTTCTGATGGGCAAAATATGGTGTTCAGTTTGCATTTTAGGAGAGGCTGACAAAGTGAAGCTTTCTAGAGGACCCATGTCTTCTATAGGGATAGTGAGCATCCTTAACATTCTATCACATGAAGATTAGTGAAAGAATCTAATTGGAGTTATTTAAGAGAGGAGAAGACTTCAAGTATTTGAAGGGCTGTGTGTAGAAGAGGGGTTCTTATTTCTGTGGATCTCTGCAGGAAAATGAATATTAATGACTCAATGTGTGTGTGTGTGTGTGTGTGTGTGTGTGTGTGTGTGTGTGTGTGTGCGCGTGTATAATTCAAGTGGAAGCCACTGAGAGACAGATTCTGATTCAATCTGAGGTACAGTTTCCTAAAACAAGCAATAGCTATCCTAGCAAAGAATGGGCCATCTCATGAAACAGCAGGTGTTACAGTACAAGAGATGTTCAAGCAGAAAACAGATGGCCATCTGTCATGGACATTGGAGATGTTTCAAATAGGGCTTGCACTAAATTACCCCTAAGGTCTCCTCCAGCTCTGAGATTCTGTCATTCTCCTGGTTAAAGGAGGTTAAAGAGTAGGTCACATGAAACATTCACCCAATTTCAGCTACAACCATAGATGTGGGTAATGCTTTTATGGACGCATGAAGAATGGTATTTCAAGAAAGCAAAATAACAACATTATTGGTATGCTTTCTTTTTCTTTTCTTCTAATTGAAGCTCTTTGGGCAATTAGACTTCAGTGGAGACTGGTTGTTGAAAAAGCCAGTTTGTTTTTCTCAACAATACAGTAATGCAGAGTACTTTGGGGACTGTGGTGCACCCCAAAGCTGGGGAATGGGAGGCCTAATATCACAGCATTTAGGGTTGGAAAGGCTTTTCAAAGAGCATCTTGTCCAACTTTCTCATTTAATTGGTGAAACTGAGGACCAGGGACACATTTCCATAGGCCATAGAGATTTTTAAGTCGCAGTGTGAGGACTGGAACCTACATCATCTGATTCACATCTAGTACTCTTCTGGGCCATCACACTTCTTGCTCTGAGCAGAAAGTTGTTTTCCTTCTTTTTTTTCATGTGCTCAATCAATTCCCAAGATAAACTGCAGTTATAAAGGAGGAATTAAGCAAAGAGGGCCATATGGATTTATCCTATTCTTACTGCCACAGCATTTGCTAGCTAGCCAGTTAATAACATTTATTATGAAAAGCACTGGGAACAACTCTCTCTTTCTTACATCTCTTCTGTTTGGCTCAAGGGAGGGTATATGAAATAACGGTATCAATAACATCCTTCCTGGCACGTAATAGTGGTAAGTGTGGTATGGTATAGTGCCAGAATTTTATAAAGCTCAAACTTCACAGTTTAGTCTAAAGGGCCTACAATCAATTGCCACTCAATATTCTTTATTGTGCTTAGATGTCAGACTTTATGAATCTTACTATGCCCAAAAAGATCCATGGAGACATATCATCAACTTTAATTTTCTCTGTATTCTACTTAGCAATTAAGATCAATTCATTGAGATACAGATGATAATTTGCCATCTTTTATCACAGCATGAAATTGCTATTTAGGGGCTTTTTGTCCAACTCATATCTTGTTCTCCCCCCACAGGAGACATATGAAAAGACCTCTCTGTTTGATTTTAAGATCAAAGTGATTGTCAGCCATATAGGAAAGAAAGCAAGAAAATTGGATTGGGAGAGAAAAAAAATCTACTAATAACCTTCGTCTACTAGGCCCCTGAGAAGATGAACTTTTACAAATGCTACTTAGGTGATGAAAACAGATGTTTCTGACTGTATTTAAACTGTCAGGCTTTATCAAGTGCAAATGGGAAAACAATTTTTAAATACCAGCTTCTTGCTCACCATAATGACTTGATTTTTTTCTTACAGTCAGGAACACGCTACGGGCAGGATGATTGACAGAAATCTTTACTGTGTCTGGTAATTTTCATTGTAGGAAAAAAAATTCACTCTGGATCTTCATAACTCAACTTTCAACATGCTAAGACTAGAAAGAATACATAGGGTTCCATTATTAAATAAGCTGAGATTTTCTCTATATTTCCTTCAATAAGACAGACTCTTTGCTCACAAGCATTCTGGGGTCAAGTTACTTTGACAGATGGGTTTTGACTAGTTTAGAAAGGTTTTGCTAAGTCTAACTGTAGCAATAGGTTAGGCCTTTGATACACTGCTTAACTCGGCCATGAGTAGAGATTCTGGTGACTGAAGCAAATTCACTTGTGGGGCATGTGACCTGGCTCTGGGGGATACCTCTCCCCCATTTATCCAAGGGCTTTGTTGGAGTTTTATTATTCCTCTCTTCGGGTGAAAGACATTGAGAGACCCCTAGAGTACTCTCTCTTCATGGGTGGCATGGGATTTAGGATCCATACTGTTCTTTGTCAATTGTTCCGATAACACGTGTGCCTCAAAGCTCAGCCTGATTGTATGGAGCAACATTTCTACTTCCTACTCCTAATCTAAGAATCAACCAGCTAGGGACCTGGCTTTTCCAGCTTCTCCCCACCTAGTGTCTTGAGTAGACCATTTTTATGGAGACAAAAATCCCCACACACTCAGTGCTCTTGAGCAAAGGTCTGGTTGTCCCTCCTTAGTTACGACTCTGCTTCTCTGTGGGAGCCAAATCTTGATACGACAGTTAAAAGGGCATGTAGTTGTGAGGGATGATTTAAGCTGCAGGCAAACCATCTTGGTGAGGCCATGCTTGTGAAAGAGACTATTAAAACTAAGGCTTTCAACCCAATCTTAGAAGTGTCACCAAAAATCTTTCTGGCTACTGCCCTAATTATTATTACTTTCGGCTGCCTACCTGGAAGGTAAGCATTTGGTAACATTTATTTTTTTGTGGACATTTGCACATTCAAAACTGTACTTTGTTCTAAATGTTCCTAACTTTCTCCTTAGTACAAAATCTTTCAAAACATGTTATTTAGCTGACAGTATGTGGTTGTGGAGCTAGGAATGCCATAATCTCCAAACATTTCCAATGACGACCTTCATGCAAGACTTGGCACAACATACATGAACTTACTTGAAACACTTGTGGTCAAAAATGTATCAAGAGCAAGGGATAACAAATAGATAGTCTGAGTGTTGCCCTGAGTTCATGTTAAATGTTAAATTTGTTAATTGTTAAAAAATGTTAAAAAAAAAGTTAAAATGACATGTTAAAAAATATGGAGAGGAAGGCTTCTAGAATTTGGGTAGATAGATCCTCTTTGGAAGGTCCAACTTTTTTTTTTTAAAAAAGTAATTGAGTAAATATTTAGAACAGTAGGCTCCATAGGTAGGGAAGGGGAGGGATATATTAGGAAATATAGGTGATATAAAAATGAAATATATCAACCAAATTAAAAAATACCTAAATTACATACCTCAAAGATGTTGTTAGTTTCACATGGTAATGTATATAAAGTTCTTTGTGAATTTTGAAGCATCATATAAATGTTAGCAACACTGTCTTTGTATGTAGCAGCAGGATAGATCATCAAACACATTATTGGAACTGTCAGCTGGGATGCAAAATTGTATCATCATTGCTACTATTGTTGCTTAGCTGTTTTTCAGTCAGGGTCAACTCTTTGTGACCCCATTTGGGGTTTTCTTGGCAAAGATACTGGAGGGGTTTGTTATTTTCTTCTCTGGATCATTTTACAAACGAGGAACACAGGCAAACAGGGTTAAATGACTTGCCCAAGGTCACATGACTAATACTTGTCTGAGGCCAGATTTGAACTCCGGAACATGAATCTTCCTGACTCCAGGCTTGGCACTCTATCCATTGTGCCACCTAGCTGCCCTTTGTATTATCATTAGATATTGGAATAATGCATCATAAGCACACTGTGGCTACCTCAAGATACATACAGCACAAATATAAAGAAGATTGGCTGGATTCTTTATTTTCCAGCCAGATGTTTGTGTATCTGACAGACTCAGAACTTATAAAATCTCAGATGAGGGCTAAAAACTGAGTTAGAATGAGCAATAAAATGATCACCTTTAATCAAATAATTGATAATTGTGTAATCAACCAGTTTTGAAATGTTAAACAAGCACAGAAATAATCACAAATGGTTGAATCTAATGACCAGTGAGGTATTTATTAGTAATAAGTTGTTTTTAAAATAACCACTAGGATTTAACAATAACCATTTTCCCCCAATGGGATAACTTGTATACGCAATTTTGATTTTCTAATGCTTGCCTGCCCCTATTTCTTCCCTGATGCCATGATGCCTGGCACATAGGCTAGAATGCCATCATGGGAAGGAAATCTTTCAGCTAGATTTTTCCTTTCCAATTTGGAGTCTGAACACTCATCACTCTGGTGGTAACAGACAGGAAAACTAACAAGTCAGTTCAAACCATTCCTAAATCCCAGTGGTAGGTTTACTTGCCTTCCTCTATAGTGGCCAATGCCTATAACGAAAGGGGCTCTTACCTTTCTCTAGTTAATAAGGTATTCTGGACTAAAATGTCCTCTTGTGTCCATCACTGAAAGACAACTGTGAAATAATGAGTAGTATGGAGGAGTGATGGACGATACCTGCCAGGGGAAACTTTCTCCTTTGCCATTGTGTACTAGGCAGACTTGTTGAGCCTGAATGTCGTGAATGCAAGCCTTGAAGAAAACCGGCCAGAAAAAAATATCAGATTTTCTCTCCTCTGTGATGATCATCTCACATCAGCACTTGGGCATGGGGAGGAGAGAAATTATTAGGTTTTGACCCTTCCTTGCCAATATGGATTATGTCTTTTTGACACTTTGGAAAATAAAAAATCCAAGAATGAATCATAGGAATTAGACCTCTAAGTGAACTTTGATGTTCATTGAGTGTACCCCATTCATTTTACAGAGACAAACAGATCTGTAAGAGGCAAAGCTAAAAAACAAAGTAATAAATAGAAGAGCCAGAAATAGAACCCAGCCTTCTGCTTCCAGTCCATTGATGTTTATGCAGCAAGGTGGCAGAGTGGAGAGAATGTTGGGCTTGGAAACAGGAAGACCCAAGTATGAATCTTGCCTCAAAGACTTATTGGCTGTGAGACCCTGAGTAAGTCATTAACCTCTCTTAGCCTCAGTTCCTTCCTCTGGAAACTAGTGATAATTGCACCAAGATCATGAGGTTGTTGTGAGGACCAAATGAGATAACATATAGAAAGTGATATGTGTATATAATACATGCAATATATGTATATACGTATGCACACACAGTATACACAATCATATATATATATATATATATTCATATGGATATGTACATACATCTATCTCTCTATGATATCTATTATATCCTAAAGAAAACGATTAGAGAAGTAGAGAGAGGAAGAAAAAAGAAAGCAATGGAATAAGGGAAAAAGAAATGGAATATAAAAATAATAAACAATCAAGCAAAAGCAGAAAGGCATTCCATATGGGTCTGCAACTGTTCTGAAGTGTGGTGAGGAATGAGAGGCTTTGGAAGGAGTGACATACTATTACCTCTCATCCACTGCCCCCCCTTTCCTTTGCTGCCCTCGCTCATGCCCTCCTCCCCCTTCTCACCTCCCCCAAAGCTAGCGCTGTCCCCTACAGTTCTCTCACACTGTACGAAGGCTATGTGTGCTAGTAGCCGCTGAGCAAGACACACAAATACCACTTGGCCAGTGGGAAGGAGAGAGAGCTACCCTAACACGACCATCAACACCTCCCCCTCTGTCACAGAAAGGTCATTTGCACCCGGGCTTTCGTTCACCTGTGGAAGTGGCAGCCATCTGCCAGGCTCCTGAGGCAAAAACTGGGCAGCTGAAAGGTCTCTTTATTTAGATGTCGACAGAGCCCAGAGTCCAAGGTGTCAGGGCTTACTTACTGGAGGTGGAGGGGTGGGTGGGAAAGAAAAGATTTGTTTTTACCCATCAATCCAAAACCAGCTATTTGGTGACCTTGGCTAACCTTAGCTTAATGCCTCCAGCTTAAAAACAAAAGACAAAAACCTCAGCAGTTAAACTTTTCTTTAGAAAGAAAAGAGGGGGCAGGGAACCTCAATTTAAAAAGGAGGAAAGCCAGTTGGGTATTTGTTTTTTACCTATTATTGTGGGAATGGAAATATTTGCATAATGATAGTTTTCTAAAATAGGGTTAATTATGCTCTCCCTGTCAATATGTTTTTGAGATTTTGCTTAAATTTTGGTGCTACTTTTTGTCTTCATTCTTTCCTGCCGGTTCCTTTACTTTTCAGGGAATATTAATTTCCTTACTTGTAAAATGAAGGTGTTGGATTAGAAGATTTTCTAAGTTCTTCAACATGCCAAATACAATGATCCTACAGCTTTTTTGAACTAATCCAGTGCCACTGACTAATGTGTGTTAATTTACTTATCCAAAAGGAAAAAATCTGCCTATTTTGTGACTATTTGTGTTGTACCGAGAAATCAGCGAGCAAAACCCAGATGTAATTTAAAATGTGGATTTATTAGCGCGTGGCTGCCAGGGGTATGCACATCCAAATCAAGCAGCCCCAATCAAGGGTTGAGCTAGAGTTTATATGGAAAAGAGCACGGGAAAGAAATGCCAGGAACACTGATGAGGTAATCCAAAGGTACAGGTGTCTTTGGGGGCTATGGATGGGAAAGTACAGGGAGTATACCAGACAGGGAGGGGGATGGATCTTTGGAGTCTGGCAGGAGGAAGAGTCCTTGGGCTGGTCAAGGACACCCCTCTCCCTCTGTCTTGATGAGAGAATGCTCTGCAACAAGGGAAAGCTTTCTCACAACACAGGAACTTACTGAGGAATTGGGAGGCTTCCAGAGACATGATCTGAGGGCTGGGGCCTGAGCAGCCAGATAAGGGTCGTGCTGAGGCCCATGCATGAATAACTGCTAGGCACAGTGCCCTTAGGCTGGGGAGTGGTTGTCAGAGACAGTGTTTCTGAGACTAGGGAGACATCTGGGGCACAAATATAAGCACAAGCACCCGAGCACCCCATCATTACAGGTCAGAGATCACACAAATCAGACCAGGTGTCCTGGTCTCTGGTATAAATATAATTATCTAAAGCAATTATATTGCAAGCATTCTTATCCATTTGTGTTGGAGGTACGGGCTATGCTGAGCTATGCAAGAGTACATTTCACTATTGTTTAGATTTAGGAGGAAAGAGGTCTGGGGCAAGATTAAGCACCAACTTTTGCTTTCCATGGCTTAAAGGGCCCTACTACCTAAATGGCAAAATAATGTTCTGCATTACATTTGGACCTCACTTACTGTGTTTGGCTGCTGTTCAGGGAGAAAAGAGTATATGTTATTTATATGGAGCAGGTAAATAATATATCATCTTTCCCACCCAGGATGAAATTCCCATCACAAAAGGAAAAAGAAATGAATTACCTTTGGTCATGACAATTCCTGCCAGAGATTTGTGGCGGGCATGCATGGAAGTCAGGTTGTCTGTCAATTCTTGAAACTTCTGTGTGACCAGCTGGTACACTGAATCAGCAAACTCCTGGAAGATACAAACACCAGGATATCTTTAGCTTGGGTGAGAAGAGTAGGTGGTAGATGGACAGTGAATTTTCCACTATTGACTCTCCTTCCTAAATTCAGTTCCATCTATGAGGACCACTTTGGTCTGGACTATGAAAACATGAAATACATCCTTATGTATTTCCCTATGTCATTTTGAGAATTGCAACTATTATTTTTCCTTTTTTGCCCCCAAAACCTTGAAAATGAATGTGATTTTGTATAGCATTGGTTCATGTTGGGAGAAGAGATCACATCAATCTTTCTTGATTTGGTGATAGAACAGAGTATAAAGTGAGTCTCTTTGGACACCTCCTGATGAAGCAGACAACAAGGAAGAAGGTCCAATAGCCCTCAGGTTAACATTTTATAACATTTAACAAAACTTGCCTTCATTTCACACAGATCCAAATTTTACATTGGAATGGGTATTGAGTAGACATGTTGTGATTCCTTCCTATCCACACATCCCAGGCATAGCCCTAGATTTAGTGCAGTGTGGTAGAAAGAGAACTGGATTTGGAGTTGGAGGAGAGACCTGAGTTTGATTCTGGATCTGCCACTTACTTTATGACCTTGGATAAATTACTTGACCTATTTGGCTCTTAACCTTCTTTCATGTCAATTAAAGGAGTTGGACTAGAAGTCCCCTCCACTCTGACAGTCCTATGAACTCTTTGGAACTAATCCCATGCCATTTAATTTGTTGTTTGTTTCTTGTTTAGTTGTTTCAGTCATGTCTGACTCTTCATGACCCCATTTGGGATTTTCTTGGCAAAGATACTGGAGTGGTTTGCCCTTTCCTTCTCCAGCTCATTTTACAGATGAGGAAATTGAGGCAAACAGGGTTAAGTGACTTGTCCAGGGTCACACAGCTAGTAAGTGTCTGAGGCCAGATTTGAACTCAGGAAGATGAGTCTTCTTGACTCCAAGCCCAGCTCTCTATCCACTATGCCACCTAGCTGTCCATGCCATTTAATAAGATAATGGATAAATTACTTAGCCAAACAGTGAAAACAGTTAACTAAAAGGTTTTTAGTTTCATAACTATTTGGACTTCATGATCTCTGGCTATGTGGTAGGAAGAAAGGAAGGAACATTTGAGACCAGTGGGTAGTAAGGTGGTTCCTAGATTGAGCTTGTCTGGAACAAACCTGGAGAACACTAGAGGACACTTGAATGCCTGGGACCATTTGCTTTTCACTATCTGACTTTTTTAGATACAAAGACAAAGTATTAAAAATGCTAGCATGCCTCTCTCACATCCTTCTGACCCAGCTTCTCCTCATCCTCATTAATCCTGTCAGGGATATTGATCCTTCCTAGCCAGGACATACCTAACATGTAGCTACTGCTCATGTCTAACATTATCTACTTTGCCAGCAAAGCACTTGATATGAAAAATAAACACAGGGTGGACTTATAAAGGTGTAGTAGCTAGTCTGCTTCCAGTCTGACTATACTCCTACAATAACACCACCACCACCGATAATTAGCATTTGTATGGCACTTTAACATCTGCAAAATGCTTTAGAATGTGAGCTCCTTGAGGGCAGGGGCCATTTTCCCCTTTCTTCTTATCCTCAGTATTTAGCAAACAGCCTGGCATACAGTAAAAGCTTAATCAGTGCTTGTTGATGTGTTGTTGATTTATTTTATGTATGAAATTTCATTTGATCCTCAAAACAACCCTTTGAGGTAGATGTTAGTATTATCTCATTTAGGAAACTAAGGAGTTATGTCATTTGCCCAGGTCACACAGCTAAGAAGTGTTTGAGGTAGGATTCAGACTCAGGTCTTTCTGCCTATGCTCTATTCACTACTCCAATTTGCTGCCTTGTATTCCAAGTCTGTACCAATTTTTCTAAGTGCAAAGGTTGGTTGCAGAGGAATATAGAGTTCCTGTTCTGAGGTTCATAGACTTTCTGAGTTATAAGAGATCTCAGTGACCATCCTATCCTATACCTGGCCAAGAGTCTCTTCTACAACATATACAAGTGATCATCCAATTTTTTCTTTCTAAATTTTGTTTTGAAAAATTAATATTTATTTAGTTTTAACATTCATTTAAAAAAAATTGAATTCTGACTTCTCTCCCTCCCTTGCCCTTCCTTGTGAAGGCAAGAAATGTGATATCAATTGTGTATGTGAAGTCATGTGAAACATAGTTCCGTATTACTCATATTGCAAAAATAAAAAAAAAAATAAAAAGCCAAAAACTCCAAGAAAAATAAAGTTTAAAAATATGCTTCAATTTGCATTCAGACTCTGTCAGCTCTTTCTCTGAAGGTGAATGGCATTTTTCATCATAAGTCTTTCCAAATTGTCTTGATCATTGTACTGATCGGAATAGCTAAGTCATTCATAGTAGATCATTATGTAATATCGCTCTTATGTGTACAATGTTCTCCTGGTTCTACACACTTCACTTTGTATCAGTACATATAAGTCTTTCCAAGTTTTTCTGAAAGGATCCGACTAGTCATTTTTTATAACACAATAGTATTCCATTACAATCATATACCACCCCTTGTTTGTTCATTCCCCAATTGATGGGGAATTTCCAATTCTTTGCCACCACAAAAAGAGCAGCTATAAATATTTTTGTAAATATAGATATTTCCTTTTTCTTTGATCTATTTTGGATATAGACCTGGATCTATATGCCCTGTGGCGTTCCAGAATGGTTGGTTCAGTTCACAACTCCACCAACAGTGCATTAGTGTCTTAATTTTCCCATGTCTCCTCCAACATTTGTTATCTTCCTTCTCTGTCATATTAGCCAATCTGATAGGTGTGTTGCGGTACCTAAGAGTTGTTTTAATTTGCATTTCTCTAATCAATAGTGATTTAGAGCATTTTTTTCACATGCCTATAGATAGCTTTGATTTATTTTTCTGAAATCTACCTATTAATATCCTTTGACCATTTATCAATTGAGGAATGCTTGTATTCTTATAAATTTCAATCAGTCTCTATGTATTTGAAAAATGAGGCCTTTATTAGAGACACTTGCTGTAAAATCCTTTCCCCAGTTTCCTTTCCTTATAATCTTGGCTGTAGTAGTTTTATTTGTATAAACCCTTCTAAATTAAATATAATCAAAATTATCTATTTCACATCCTATAATGCTCTCTAACTCTTGTTTGATCTAGTTTTTTCCTGAAGCTCTCAGATGAGGGCTTTTTTTTTTTTGTCAATTCTCATTGTTAGGAAGTTTTCCTTACTTCTGGTTAAAAGTTGCCACTGAAGCTAAGCAGAAGTTTAATTTCTCTTCCATAAGACAGCCCATCTTAAACTCAAAGACTGCTATCATGTTCCCTATAAAGTCTTTTCTCTTGTTTCGAATAGTCTCAGTTCCTTTAACTGATCTTTCAATGGCATGATCTCAAGGACCTTCACCATTTTATTTGACTATCCTGGGATGCTGATGCATCAAAGACCTTCCAAAAATGTGGCACTCATTTTTTTAAAACTGCATTCTTTCTCTGCAGAATCTCCGTGTCTGAGTCTACATACAACCCAGTCAACCCAATTCAATCAATTTGGATGAAAAATTAGGCAAACTTTCTCTGTAGCAAATGTATTTCTTTGACATTTTCCTTTGAAGCTAGTTACACTGGTACTATGGAGACAATGGTAGGGATAAGAACCAAAAATAGAAGATATAAATGAGGATAGAGTCTAGCCTGGTGATTTCGTTGGTGTGGGGAATTTCCTCTCCTAATGTATGTGACACCTTTTGTGCAAGCTATGGTCTAGCACTAAGCACTTAAGTAACCAGGCCTGGGTCACACAGCCAGCAGATCTTTCTGACT